ACTTATCTAAAACCTACCCACTCTTTGAGATCCAACTCAGGTAGTACTGGGATCTTTCCCTACCACCTAATGCCTACACATTCCCATAGCACATACTTTATTTACATTTATTTGGGACTTAGCATATACTTCTTTGACTTTTGTGTGTTTATATCTTCAACAGGATTTTAAGGTGTAGAAGGGCAGAGGCTTTATCCTACAGCTCTTTTTTAATCCCCAGAACCTAACACAATGCTGTTACTAAATGCCATTTGTGTGTTTCATGGGAGGTGGTGATGATGATGATGTAGCAGATGTTGTCAGTGCTCTGACCTGTCACCTCAGATTTCTTTATTTCTTTATGGGCTGCCCTGAGACTGCTGGAACACACTTTACTTTTCGCACAAGCTGAAGTGTCTGGGAATTAAGCTATCCCCATCTTAACTTAATGACTCTGGGTGCAAGTAAGAATACTCCAGTTCTCGTGGCCCCAGATTGGGACAGCAGTGGGTGGACTTATTCTGTCTCCTGGGTCCCCTCTAAGTTTGAGTCAAAATTGAGATTGTACCCTTGCTTAAGCTCCTTTCCTTCTCAGTTCCATTCCCCACTCCCTTACTGTTTTTTAATTGGGACAGCAGTGGGTGGACTTATTCTGTCTCCTGGGTCCCCTCTAAGTTTGAGTCAAAACTGAGATTGTACCCTTGCTTAAGCTCCTTTCCTTCTCAGTTCCATTCCCCACTCCCTTACTGTTTTTTTCAGAGAACGCTTCTTAAATAAATCATTTTTGCACAAATCCTTGTCTAGGGTTCTGCCTTTGCATTTTAGGTGGTAGCCAACCTAAAACGGTTGATAATATAATAAGAGTAATAATAATAGCAGCTATTATTTATTGAATATTTTCTATATGCAAGGCATTGACTCATTTAATCCTCAGAATTAGGTAGGTACTATGGTTAGCCTCATTTTACAGATGAGGAAACTGAGGCATATAGAAGTTAAGCAATTTGCTCAAGGTGACACATATAACAAAAGAAAAACTGAAAAATGGAAAAGGAGAAATCTACAGGGCAAAGACAAGAGGGGGTGAAATCAAATAAAAAATAAATAAAAGTCAGGGCTGGCTGGTTAGCTCAGTTGGTTAGAGCATGGTTCTGATAACAACAAGGTCCAGGGTTTGATCCCTGTACTGGCCAGCTGCTAAGAATAAAAAAAATAAAATAAAAGTCAACCAACTTACCACTTAAGCCTTGTGGGCTAGTTAGAAACTAAACCACCGTCGTATATACTATAAAATAAAAGTCAACCAACTTACCACTTAAGCCTTGTGGGCTAGTTAGAAACTAAACCACCATCGTATATACTATTTTAGAAACTAAACCACCGTCGTATATACTATTTTTTTTTTTTGACAGAATGACTTTTAAGTTCCAATAAGCAATTTACAAACTTTCAGAACACAACTTTTTAGGTTAGAAACTTCATTTCTAACGGACTGTCAGAAAAGTCTCCTCTTCTCCTCCTTCCCTCTATTCTCTTCATTCCTCCCCCCAAGACTTTGCTTAGTATGCACCCGATTCCAGGAAGTAAAACCCATACAATCAATAATTTAGACAATTAATAATTTAAATTCACTACGTATTTATATTTGGACTATCTTTGGAACTATCATGCATGCTTTGTCTCTAGAATAGTCATTCTGAATTACAAACAATGCTTATTGGAATGAATGTATGAAATGTACTATTTACAAGTCGAGAACTTGTAAATGAACTATTTACAAGTTGTATAATATTGTTATTTTAATGGCATTAAAAACTCATACATCTTCTTAAATTTAATGTTTGAATTTTGCAGTACTCTGATCTAGTCATACGTGTAGCGACCCATAGGAAGAAAACGAAAAGTAGATCAGAACATCTTTATTTTTTAAACCGTTTGACGCCCAAACAAAAATTTAGTAATGCAGCAGCTTTTCCATTTATAATTTGAGGGATCCTGTATGAGTTGTGTAACCTCACTTGGCTTCTATTTTCATACTCATTAAGTGTCAATATGGCCAGGATTGTAGGATTGTCATGAGGATTAGAGAGATTGCATTTCAAGGGTTTAGGGCAGGACCTGGCATATGATAGATATTCAGCAAATTTTATCTAATAATAATGATAATGATAATACTGTCCTGGAAGAGTTTTGACCCTTCTAGCCTAGTGCCTTTAAAGTGATTTCTCTTGAAATAAGCAATAATTATGCAATGCAGTTGAATGCCACTTTTTAATAGATCTAGCTTTCTGAACTGTGCAACAGCTTTATACCTCATTTTTTGTTCTTTTTCTCGATTCTCCCAGCTGCCAACCTGTACTTCCAGATTTGTGTTGTCTCCTGTTCTCTTCGTTCCCAACCCAGTTTGTTGTAGTCTCTTCCAGATATGGTGTCTTTCATATTTATTTATATATTTACATATTTATTTATTTATTTTCAAAAGATGACCAGTAAGGGGATCTTAACCCTTGACTTGGTGTTATCAGCACCACGCTCTCCTAAGTGAGCCACGGGCGGCCCTGTCTTTCATATTTAAAAAGACGGTTTCTGGCCGGCCCGTGGCTCACTCGGGAGAGTGCAGCGCTGGTAGCACCCAGGCTGCAGGTTCGGATCCTATATAGGGATGGCCGATAGGCTCACTGGCTGAGCGTGGTGCAGACAGCGCTGTGCTGAGGGTTGCCATCCCCTTACCAGTCAGAAAAAAAAAAAAAAGACGGTTTCAACAGGGCACTCGTGGGCTGCTTACGCAGTAGCCACTCCCCCTCCCGCCAGCTCTCTGCTCCATGCCTACCCCATTAAGCCATCCACAGTACTTACTGAGCTGCTGTTGAATGCTGTGCCCTGCTCGCTGCTATGAAACAGCTGGCATGTTGTTTAGAACATGATGGGTCCTCATAAATGTTTATTTCCTTTTCTTCTAACATTGACCTTTACATGAACTTGTCCATCCCTGTTCCGATGTCTCTTTTAGTAAAATGAACATGCTTTAATCTTAAACTCCTTTGCCAAGGCTGTTTTTTTTATAAATTTGTGTACAATTTGATAACTTTCGACCTCTGTTTAACGTATACAGGGCAGAGATAATTACCTTTGGAGGCTGAAAGCCAGGAAAGGTGAGGAGCTTCAGGATCCTACCTAAAGCTATTTGAGACTCACAGGACTCTTCTGCGGATCATACTTCCAGGGATATTTGTAATCAAAATGGAAGATTAGCTCTGGTCAATTTTACTTATAAGTGTGGTTTAATATTGTTGAATGTCAGTTTATGCCAAAAATAGGGAGAAATTACACTTACTTCTCTACCTTTTTCAATCATTTATTCATTTATTCAATATTTACTGTACGCCTACTACAGATACTGAGCTGGCTCTGGAAATATCTAGAGCAATGAGACCAGAGGTCTGCCCCATAAACATCATAGTCTAGTCCAGGGGCTCTCAATCCTAATTGCATGTTAGAGTAATCTGGAAGCCAAAAAAAAAAACTCACTGATACGGAGTTCCCATCCCAGACCAATTGAATGTTTTGGGAATCAGGCCCATGCATCAGTATTTCTAAAAGCTCCTTAGAGGAGTCTGATATGTAGCCAGAATTGAGAACCACTGGGCTAGTGGGTATTAAGGGTTTTGGAGTAGTGCTATGGATATATCATAATCATCTGAGGAGTTAAAAAAAAATGTGTATGTGCATATGTGTGTGTAAAAGATATATATATGGATGGATACACTCTCCTACCCTCCCCCCACCCTAAGGCACACTGAGATCCTTAGAGAGAGGAGTAGCATGTGTATTTTGGAAAATTCTTTTCTCTTTCCTCTCCTCAAATAGAAAGTAGAAAGACAATGATAAAATCATGTGATAACACATAGAAGGAAAACCCAGCCAACATCCATGAATCAAAAGAGGCGATATCAGAGCTGATGATTCCTAAAAGGGTTAGCAAGGCACAGGGAGATAGGGTGAGTTTTCCTAAGTAAAAGGCCCAAGCTCTCGTTAGACTTTAGCACATCCTTGTTTGGCTCTTTCCCCTTCCCTGTCCTTCCTCCCTCACTACGGAAAGGTTTTTCTTGAAGAGTACTCCATCAACAAATCACCGACGCAGGCTCTGTTTTTCAGGAGTCTGACCTAAGATAGTTGATACCTGGAAGAATTCTTGGAAGCAGGATGGACTTCTGGAGTTGAATGATCCTCTAGACAACATGCCATGAGGACCTTGGTGGAGCATCGACAGCCCCTGGCTTACAGAAGCAGCCTTGCATCTGTAGTGAGTTGGAATGTGCTGCAGGTAGAAGAGAATTGCCCTGGCTGCAGCAATGTCACTGGTGCTTGAGAGATATCCAGAAGTAGTTGTTGAAGAGACTGTAGAATTGGATGACTGCTGCTAAGTACTATTGATGTACCAAAGAGAGAAAATGACAGGCTCAGGTCAGTTAATCATGAATTAAAAGTGGAATGTAAGAGTCAGAGGGCCGGCTTGATAGCACTGTAACAGACTGTCATCGCCTGCAGGTGGAGGACAGACTGAGCTGAAGAGCAAGCTCAGGCCTAACTTGTACTACAACAAACTACAGTGAAGGCTGAATGCTCAGTCAAGGCAGATTTCCTATGCTAAAGACAAAGTCCCACGGGCGAAGGAGAGGAACCTGAGTTATGGAATGAGGATACAGCTCATTGCTAGGTAGATGCACCGTTGAACCCCCGTATTCCCCTGCACCAGTGGGCCTGCAGGATCAATGACGATGCCCTCCTTCCCTTGCTATGCAGAAGTCTCAGATGAAGAGGACCCTTATAAGAATGTCCCCCCCCCACCTCCCACTTTTGGACACTAGATCAAAATTAGGGTCACATTTCACCATGATTCAATTGAGGTAGTGTTTGCTATGCTAAGAGTGGAAAGGAACTACAACCCAAAGTGTATTGGAGATTAGGTTTCAACATGCGAATTTGGGGGGATACAAACATTGACCATACCACCACGCAAATAATTCTTGGGGTTTCCTTTAATTTCTCAGCATTCTTGTCTAATTCACCTATTCAGTCACTAGTTTTATAGCTTTCTCTTATGAGGTTGTAAAATATTCTTTTCTTCTTCTCAGACTCTTCATCTACCATACTGATTCAGTAATGATTTCGTTCATTATCTTTCTGTCTCATAGCTCATTTTAGTCAATGCTTAAGCAGATATTAAGATTCTTGTCCTTTTATGGCAATTGTCCCTCTCTTTCTTACATTGTATTTCCATTGATACTAAGAGTAGATGCACTATAGTGAGTCCTCAGCTTGGCAACAGGATCTTCAGGGTTTCCATTAATAATTCTTGGAGCAAGTTACTTAATGTCTTGAGACTGAATGTCTTCATTCTTAAAACGGGAGAGGAAGTGATATTTTATTCACTCATTCTTCACGCCATTTATTCACTTAATCATATACATATTCAATAAATATGCATTTATTGCTCACTAAGTTCCAGGGAGTCAACTATGAACAAGATATACAAAAGTAATAAATATGTACATCTGAGTCTTAACCACAAGCAACGTCTCACCTCTCATATTTTTGTGTTTCTAATTAAAAGCAAACAAACAGAAAGCAAATGAATGCAAAGATAGTTCAAAAGTTTGTTATTAACATATGAAATAAATACATATAAATGTTTTAAAAATATATAAGAAAATAAAGAAAATATGTTTTAAAAAGATCTTTGCTTTAAAAAAGTTAATATTCAATTTATTAATTCCAAATTCAATGCCCTATTATACCTTAGGCTTTTATTTTTTCATATTTTAAAAATCAATAATTCCTTAATATAATCAAACACTAAACATGTTTAAATTTTTCTAATTCTCTCCCCCTTCCTCTTTCTTTCTTACAATCAATTTGTTTACATCAGGATCCAAACAAGTTCTGCTTGTTTCATTGGTTGCTTTGTCAGCTGTCACTTAAATTTCTTTTAATCTATAAGTTCCTCCTTAATCTAATTTTTTCCCCTTTACCCTATAAAGTTTCCCAGGGTCTGGATTTTCTGGCTCAATCCCAGTAGTGTCATTTAACATGTTCTACCATCACCAGCATTTCCTGATGATTGGTTGCTGGATCTCGAGTCTTGGTCTCACTTAGGTTAGATACGGCTTCAGAGCATAAGAATATGCTCTTACTGCAGGAGGCCCACTATGTCTGATCTCTCTGTGACGTTGGCAGTCCTTGATGATCATTTGCTAGATCCATTATTTCAATTCGGAATTGCAAAATACCATATTCTAATTATTTTATTCCCTCTTTATACTAGCTAGGTTACTTCAATAGACAGAAATATTCCCTCCTCAGCTATTTATGGTTACCCTGAGGAAGAATTCATATAAGAAAGACAGGATAAATGTTTGACTATTCCCTTTTACTTACTAGTTTTAGAAAAATGAATTGTTTCTGTATCTTCTTCCAAAGAGACTGAGAGTTTGTTTGCTTTTGATTCGTTGTCATTATGGTTTTTTGTGGTGGTAAGATTTAGTTTCTTTCTCTTGTTTGCATTTTTGTTCTCCTAGTGGATTTTGTTCTTTCTTGTGTGTTTGTGGTAGTAATTATCGTTTTTGGATTCCAGATGCAGAACTCCCTTGAGGATTTCTTGCAGGGCTGGTCACATGGTGGTGAACTCTGCAGTTTTTGTCTGTAAGGAAAATACACGATTTCTCCCTCATTTCTGAAAGATATCCTTGCTGGGCATAGTATTCTTTGCTGGCAGTTTTTTTTCTTTTAGTATTTTGAATATATTATCCCATTTTCTTCTGGCCTGTAGAGTTTCTATTGAGAAGTCTGCTGTTAGTCTGATAGAGGCTCCCTTATAAGTGACTTGATGCTTTTCTCTTGCTTCTTTAAAGATTCTCTCTTTGTCTTTGAGTTTTGCCAGTTTGACTATAATGTATCTTGGAGAGGATCTTTTTGGGTTGAATCTGTTTGGGGATTTCTGAGCCTCCTGGATCTGAAGGTCCACATCTCCCCCTATACCTGGGAAGTTTTATGTCATTATTTTCTTGAATAGGTTTTCTACACCTTTTCCTTTCTCCTCCCCTTCTGGAACACCCATGATTTGAATGTTTGTGCACCCATGATTTGAATGTTTGTGCTAGCTCTCTTAGATTTTCTTCATTTTTTAAAATTTTTTTTCCTTTTTTTTTTTTTTTTTTTGTCTGCTTGGGTTATTTCTATAAGACTATCTTCAAGATCAGAAATTCTTTCTTCAGCTTGTTCTAGCCTGCTGCTTAAGATCTCGGTTGTGTTTTTTATTTTGTTGAGTGAATCTTTCAGTTCCATGAGTTCAGCTACATTCTTTTTTAAGGTATTAATCCTGGATTTTTTTTCTTGTTTCATTACGTTGTCTAAGTGAGACTTCTTGCATTTCAGTGAGTTTCCTTAAGATTGTTGCTCAGGTATTAATCTCTTTGTAAATTTCCTCCTTCATATCCTGGATTTTTTTTCTTGTTTCATTAACGTTGTCTAAGTGAGACTTCTTGCATTTCAGTGAGTTTCCTTAAGATTGTTGCTTAGAATTCCTTTTCAGTTATTTCAAGGGTTTCCTACTCTATAGGGTCTGGTATTTGAAAATTACTGTATTCTTTTGGTGGTGTCATATTTTCTTAGATTTTCATCTATCTAGTAACTCTACATTGATGTCTGGTCATCTGGAAGAACAGTTGCTTCTTCTATTACTCTGGAGTGGGCTTTGAGGAGAGAAACTTTGTCTTCTTCTTTCAGTCTCCACTGATGACTCTCCTTGTGTCAATGCAGTCAAGTGTCTGACAGGCCACCCAGACAGTGGCTGTGGCTACTGCTGTGGCAGCGAGCCACCTTTGCAGCAGCTCTGGCAGTGGCTGTGATGGGCCACCCATGAGGAAGTAGTGTTTTTGGCATGCTCCTTGCCTGCTTCCAGGTGATGGGTACTGCCCTTTGGCTCTTGCCTGGGACCCTCGGCCTGCTCCTTGCCTGCTTACAGATGGTATGTGCTGCCTTCCACTCCTGCCTGGGACCCAGGCATGCTCCTTCATACCCTAGGCTTTTAAATTTAGTTTATAACTCTTATTACTCTAGTGATAAGTGTAGTAAACCTTAGCAGTCATTTGGAATTAGCCTTTCACTAACTTTCAATCTCATTCACATACTTATTTAATTCATCATCTTCAAATACTGTAAACTACATTTATAAAGTTAATATTTTATCTCATTCATTAGTACTTCAACTGTTGAATGTAACTCCTTCCTAAATTCTTAATCACTTTTAAATTAATAATAAAACTTAATAAGACTAAATTGTTCTTAGCTGTTCTGATGCCATACATAAACTTAAGATTTGAATTTAGAAGTCTAATCAACTACTGAATTTTGCATTTTAAATTTTTATCAATGTTGTCATTCTATAAAGTCAAAACCTCTTAAACATGACAAATACATAACTCACCAAATATACAGAGAATCCTTTTAATATTATAGTTTTAATTCTTTTACACTATTTTATTCTTAATAGTAAAAAGTACTGGAGTTAAAAGATGCATACACACTAAAAAGGTCAGGTACCAATCCAGTAAACTAAGATTAATTAGATCAGAGATTTTGGCAGGTTGTGAGACCTAGAAATAGATATCCAGAATGATTCATCTTTCTCTTCTAATTATCATATTTAGTACCCATTTTCAGTCACTGTCTTGGACTACAAAAACTTAGGCAAGGTTTTGAACTACAAAAACTTAGACAAGGTGTTGGATTCAAGTTACATGCATTACCTGACTCTACTTACAAAAACCTTCAGCTTCCCATCTGGTAAATCACTTGATTGGATTTTTACATTTTTTGACTCTCTTCCACCTAACGTTTAAAAAGTGTTTGCACTTGATGGACTATTGTACTCTCTACAACTCATATGCATACTTAAGATGATTTCTGCTTAAATTTTGAATATCTCACATGTGTTTTTCTCTGACTTGTACTCAGAATATCTAAGGTATTCACATGCATTAATCCCGTTTGCAAAAGGATTGCTTTTTCTTTGCTCATCCCTGCAGTAAGCTGAGGAGAATGTTCTTCCAGGTGCTGTGCTAAGTTCTGGAACTATAAAAATGAATAAAATAATTTGTCCACACTTAATGAGTTTAGGCTCTAGGTGGGGAAGACTTGTAAATTAACTGAAGATTTCTATACGTACAGTTGGCCCTCTGTATCCATGAGTCCATGAGTTCCACATCAGTGGATTCAACCAACTGCAGGTGGAAAATATTTGGAAAAAAATAGTTGTGTCTGTACCAAACATGTATAGACTTTTTTTCTTGTTATTATTCCCTAAACAATATAGTGTAATAACTATTTACAGAGCATTTACATTGGATTAGGTAGGATAAGTCATCTAGACAAGATTTGAAGGATAAGGGAGGATGTGCATTGGTTATATGCAAATACTACACCTTTTGACATCAGGGACTTAAGCATCTTCAAATTTTGGTATCCACTGGAGGTTCTGGAAGCAATCCCCTACGGATACCAAGAGTTGACTGTACTTGCTCAATGGCTGTCTTTTTCCTTTGAAGATGGCAAAGGCCTTGTTCCATAAGGACATTACGGTTTTTCTGATTCGCAGCTATCACCAGCATCTAATACGTAGGCATACTCAGTATTTGTTAAATAAATGAACATGTGCTAAAATAATGTTATACCCATACAGAGGGAGTTATGGGAGCCCCCAAAAGGGACATCTGCCTAGTTTTGTGTTTGGATTTTGGGCTGGAGATTGAGTTTCACTTCAGAGGTATCAGGAAAAATTCCTTAAAAATGAGATCTGAGCCAAGTCCTGGGAGACAGAAGAAATTAGTTGGGTGAAAGCAGGGTTGGGGGTTGCTTAGGAGTTTCCACATCTTGTTGAGGAACTTCAAATAATTCCAAAGTGCCAAGAGATCAGTCTGTACAGGTATGCAGCAGAGAGATCTTGAAGGGTCTTGTGCCCTATCACTTATATATTCCCATCGTAGTATCCATATCAATATGCTGATTTTAAAAAACTTGTTCATATACCCCTGCTACACTGGTAGCTCACTGATGCTAAGGACTGCATCTTGTTTGTTACTCAGGTGCCAGCATAAGGATGGGGATATAGTAGACCCTCAAAAGTTAATGCAGGAATGAATGAAAGAATGAACCAAGGGGTGACGAATAATAGCAGTGTGAGCACTGTGCAGTGATTGTCATCTCCATGGTGGGGATGTCAGGAAAGAGGCCTACATCTAGCTGGTCACAGACTTAGTCAGGACCTTAACTAATAGGTGAGGTGTTTGGTAAGCGTCACATCTCAGAAATAAAACCAGAGAGAGGAATGTTGGGAGTTTCAAACTGCTTTCCTAGCCGGAAAGTGAAAAAAACACAAATATAAGCACTTTAGAATTAGGATTTGTCGTTTCCAGGTCCCAGGACGCAATAAGGTAAAGGGCCGTGTTGGTTAGTACGTTATACCTGGACAGTAAAGAGAGATGAACAGTTGAGTCGCGCTCTGTAGCAGGCTCGACAAACAAGCGACACCAAAGTGCGGAGAAGATGCTGGTACTTGCCAAGCGTGGAAAGCAGGCTGTGTCTCTGCGACTGCGCGGCCGTCACGAGCGCTCAACGGCCGGGTATTTGGACGCAAGGGAGGAGGCCCTGTGACAGCCGTTGAGAGGGCGGAACGCGGAACGCAGGCACCGTTCTCCCGCCGGACGCACTTTCCAGCGCACCGGCGAGCTCCCGGCGGGCGGTGCAGCGTCTCCCCTCCGCCGAGGGGGCGGCCTGGCCGAGTGGCCGCCGACAAAGGCCGCCCGGGGCCTGCCGTTCCTCCTCCATAGCTTCCCTTCCAGCGGCACGAGCCTAAGTGTGGCACGGCCGTCCGGCTTCTCTCCTCAGTGGACGGTTAGTGGGCGCCGCGGCCTCCGGAGGCGCAGCGGCAAGCCCGTCCCGCCTCGCAGCCACAGCCCCTGGCCTCCGAGAGGACCGCCGCCCGCCGCCCGCCGCAGGTTCTTCTCGGGGCAGGAGGAGGACCACCCCGATCCCGGCGAGGTGGGCTCTGGGTCCCACCACTACTTCCTGGAGACGCCGAGGAAAGCAGGCGCTCCTTGGGGCCACCCACCTCTTCTCGGATTGGTTAACTGCTGTTAATAAGCTCCGCGAGCTGGTGATTGGTCCCGATGCACCGTCTGTCACCTGCTTCCCTGTGGGAATATAGGTCGCGAAGGGAAGCGTTACTTAGGGCTTAGTTGGAAAGACTTCGGTTGGGTCCTTGAGCCCAGTTTGCTTATTGTAGTGGGGACCGACCCTCGGCGGGAGCTTCCGTCGCAACGGCCAGGAAAGGAACTAGAAGCGGGACGGAGGGCGGGGCTGGCAACGAAGTGAAGGTTTAGAACTAAACTAAACTGGAGACACTTAACCCTGGCAACGTCCAGATGAGAACAGGACCGAAAGGAAGGCCTTTGAGAGAGGAGGCGGACTCCCAGGAGCAGTGACAGTGTAGGGGGAAAGGCCTGTTTGTTCTAAGAGAAAAGGGCCTTGAGAGAGATTTTTATGGGGATCTCTCTATGAGAGAATTGTATGGGGATCTAATTTTCTAGGTGAGTGTCTAACACGATCCACAGTAGAATTTGCTTTGGCTTTGCGGCAGATTTGGGAGAGTACCAGCCGTTCCTGGTCTTCAAAAAGACCCACTTACTAAATAATTCAACTCTCTTTTATTGCTTTAGATGAGCAGCTCTCAAAAATGACACAAACAATTGAAGGATGGATACCGTTGCATACATTAAAACCATGTTGAACGGAAAATAAGGTATTCAATTTGATTTAATTGTGGTTAATTGTACAAGAATATTACCTTTAAAGAGAAGCTTATAAGTTTTGAATAATATTAGAGTAGCTTGATTTTATGATAGGTTTCAACCTTTTAAGTTGTTTATTACAAAAATCATATTATTGCTGTATCTACCAAACAGTCTCTTTGCTAATTATGGCTCTGATTATTCTGAAAATGGAAAAGAAATCTTGAGCTTTTAGTAATGGTACTTCGCCATGTGAGTGGATTGTGCTACTAGATCTTTTGTTCAAAATGATGTAATAACCAGTGTACTACCAAACAGTCTCTTTGCTAATTATGGCTCTGATTATTCTGAAAATGGAAAAGAAATCTTAAGCTTTTAGTAATGGTACTTCGCCATGTGAGTGGATTGTGCTACTAGATCTTTTGTTCAAAATGATGTAATAACCAGTGTAAAAAAAAAAAACTTTGAATTTGTAATTTAATGTTACAATACACATGAAATTGGAGATTTGTTTACTCTTACAGTAGTTTAGACTCAAAGGCTAATTTCAGTTTATATTTAAAGCAGCTTATTAAACATCTGGTGTATTTCAAGAGGCAGAGTTGCAACAGTTGCTTCACTGGCAGCCTAGCCATTTGAGCCTTCAGTCTCAATTGAGTCAGGGGCTGTATTATTCATACTCCTTAGTGACATACCAGAAATTGTCAAGAATAGTTTATTTCATTTGCCAGACACCCAAATTAGCTCCACAATAGACCTGGGCCCTACTCTGGAAAATTCTAACCAAGGATTGGGGATGAGATCTGGGCATCTAGATTTTTTAAAATTTCTTCAAGTGAGTTTGCTAACCTCTGAATTTTTAAAAATTTCCTTAAGTGAGTTTGATAATTTCTTCAAGTGAGTTTTATCAACACTTAATAGATGTTTAAGAAATGTTAAAAGGCCTATGAGTTTTCTCCCTTGATTTCCTTATAGTTTAAAAGTCAGCTTCTCAGGAATGACACTTAAATGTCATCCAAAAATAATGTTTGCTTAGGCAAAGTGAGGAAGTTTCAATGGCACTCAGAACCCCCTGGGACTAACCATTCCAGGGTTAGGGATGAGGCTTGATGTGGGGAGACACAAAGTGCTCTCATGTACTTTTATAATCCTCAGAGCTGTGCATGGTATATTGCTTCCTGTTGGGTTTCAAATCTTCCTGTCAGGGTTTAAGGAGAGATCTGTTCAGTAGATATAGCATGCTAAATTATTTTCACCTCAACAAAGTTGGGGGTGGGGAGGGAGGATTATACTACATTTACAAGACTTATTTTGGAAAGAATGCCTTGCTGGAAATAAATTATACCCTTCCAATAGCCCTTCGTTTATTGAGTAAGGAACATGCATAATTTAAGCCTAAATTTGTACATTAACATGAAGTACAAGATATTTGAAAAATAAACGAGGGCTTTTTGACCAACTTTACCAGAGAGTCAAAGAGGTAAAAAACGAGATGATTGCTTTAGGATTCAGATATGAGAAGTGTATAGCGAATCTGAAACCAGTCCGACTTAAGTGATGGCTTTAGGCAAAGAAGTAAGGTCCAATTGTGTTCTGTCTCCTAGAAGCTAGTTTTCATTTTATATGTAAGTTCCTCACTGCAAGATTTGGCAAATGAAGTAGGAGACAAAAGTTAAAAATTAAAAAAGTGTAAGTTAAAAATACAAAGTCGTGTGTAGTCCATCATTAACACCTTGAATTTTGTATATATTATTTGAACAGAAAGCCAGGAATCTCAGTATGAATCAGTCTAGATCTAGATCAGATGGTAGTGAAGAAACCTCATCTCAAGGCCATAATCATCATGAAAATGAGAGAAGATGGCAGCAAGAGCGTCTCCACAGAGAAGAAGCCTATTATCAGTTTATTAATGAACTCAGTGAAGAAGATTATCGGCTAATGAGAGACCATAATCTATTAGGTACCCCTGGTAAGAGATGAATAAAAGAGAAGATACCTTCTTTCATAAGTAGAAGGAAGAATTTCAAAATAAGGAGAATTGTGGGTTTTTTTCCCTTCTTCCCTTTCCCAAAATATAGTGTACTGATTTTGTTAATTTAAGAACTTTTTAATATAACAAAGTAGAAAATCACTGACTTACTTTTATATAAGTAGATGACAATATTGGACATGGATCCCTATTATACAAATGCCGAACTAACAAACAGGTTAATGTACATAATAGTGTTAAATATTCACATATATGATCCTATGTCTCTAATATTTGTACAAATATGATTTAAACTGGGATGGCTGACTATTTAAAAAATAAAATGAAAAATAAAATATCTAAAACCCAATTCTGACTCATCTGGGATGCTATAATTTATTTATTCAGCTGAATTAATAACCCTCCAAAAGTCCAATGTGCCCCATAAATATCTGACAAATTCATTTTACAAATTAACTAACTGAAATTTGTATGTTTATATATTGTATGTTTGTTTATTGATGACCCATATAATGAAGTATTGGGGTAAAATTCAAGTAAAAAGATTTGAAATTTTCTCTAGAAATTCTCCCTTAATTTCTTTTTAACTCTGACAGAAATCCACAGAATTATAGCTTATAGATTCCTAAGCATATCAACTGAGAACATTTTACCAATTATTCAAATTAAATCTTATTTTAATAAATTGTAATAAAGCATTAATAAATGAAGCACACCCAAACTGATGTATATTTGCATCAGTTGAGTATTTTTAACTGTCTTCAATTTACAGAACATATGAAAATAATAAGATGTTGTCTTCTACATTTTGCTAAAGATTAGTCTTACTCTTTGTGAGTTCTCAGAAACAGTAATTTAAAAGTCTTAAATGAGCAATTTTTTATTGTTTTAGGAGAAATAACATCAGAGGAACTACAACAGAGGCTATATGGAGTCAAGGAACAGCTAGCATCTCAACCTGACTTGAGAAATGTGACAAATAACATAGGTACTGTGGAGTCCTTTCCAAAAGGAACAGGCTTGCTTGGAGCAATGGTAGAAATGAAATTATTGGATCTTGTTCAATATGCCTGTTTTAATGTGATATTCATTCAGATAATATTTATGTGAGTATTATATACAAAACAGTATGGTTAGGCAGTATAGGACAGAGGAGTGAATACAGTGTCTTACACACACAGATTGCCTGAAGGGAGTTTATATATATGAAATAGTATACAATTAAGTTAATTACCAGCATAGTTCTTTTTAATCTTATAATGTATACACTGCTTTTTCTAAAGTGACATAACTAAGCTTAGCTTCTAAAAATGTATGTATGGAACAATACAGAAAGACTCAGAGTCAGGAAACCTGTTTTCCTTTTTTTTATTTTGTTTGTTGGTCTGTTTTGTCATTTTAATGAGAAAACACTGAGCTGTAATATAAAAAGTTCTTATAAAAAGCAAAGTACTGGGCTGGCCCGGTGGCGCACTCGGTAGAGTGTGGCGCTTGGGAGCCCAGCAGCCCTCCTGCCGAGGGTTCGGATCCCATATAGAGACCGGTCCGCTCACTGGTTGAGTGCGGTGCGGGCGCGACACCGAGGGTTGTGATCCCATTACCGGTCATGAAAAAAGACAAAAAGGAAAAAAAAAAAAAAAAAGCAAAGTACTCATACTTATAAAAAAATTCACACTAAATGGAAGTATATAGAGTTAAAAGTAAAAGACAACTTTTATGTCTCTCTTATCAGTTCTACTTCCCTCCTGAAAGGTATTTATTAGTAGTAGTTTCACATATTATATCAAAATCATTGTATTAGTAACAGTGAAGTCTGTATAAAAACCACAAAATGCAATGGCTTAAAAAGATAGAAATTTATCTCTCTCTCATGTTAACAGTCCAGGGAAGGCAGACAGGCTGCTCTGTAAATTCTCCTGGGACCCACCCAACTAGCAGAGCAGTTCTATAATTGTGCTGTCTAGTGTAGTAGTTACTAGGCACATGTGACTATTTCAGTCTAAATTAAAATTAAATAAAATTTAAAATTTAATTCTTCAGTCAGAGTAGCCACATTCAAGTACTCAAAAGTCACATGTGGCTAGTGGCTTCTGTATTGGACAGCACAAATACAGAACAACTTCACTGTTGCAGAAAGTTTTATGGGCCACCGCTACTCCAGATATCATTTGCATGATCAAGCTAAATCACAACCATATCTAAGTTCCAGCTTGCAGGAAAAAGGTCCTAGCACCAGCCTGAAAGTAAGATGTATCATTTTTACTCCCATTCCATTGATGAGAATTTAGTTATATGGCCACACCTAACTGCCAGGCTGTCCACATGCCCATTTACAATGCTTTTACAATGGAAGAAGAGTGGGATAGATTTGAGATTAGCAAGCTCTTTCAAACAGACCATCATTGCTACTTTCTAGTTAATCAAAGAAGGAAGTAGCATTTAGAATAATTAATTTTTACCTGCCTTTTGCTCATATCTTTTTGAAAACTAGAATGGAAATTGGATATTAACTCATTTTCTTCTTTGTGTTCAGATATATAAGTTATACAGTATTGATATAATCAGTAATACTGTTCTTTTGAATGTGCTTTAATGGAAAATGTGCTCATCAAATACAAAATACTTCATCATCTTTAGAATATAGCTAAGATTGCTATTTATTTTATTGGCACCAGCAACTGATTAACAGCAAATTAACTTCAACACTTAAAAAAACTTTTATGAGGGAGATTGTAGTACCAAAGCAATCTCATTTAGTAGCTATTTTCGAGTAGAACAAACTTTTTTTTTTTTTTTTTGGTTTTTTTTTCCTTTTTTTGTCTTTTTTACTGACTGGTAATGGGATCGCAACCCTCGGCGTTGCGCCCGCACCGCGCTCAGCCAGTGAGCGGGAACCGGTCTCCACATGGGATCTGAACCCTCGGCGGGAGCGCCGCCGCACTCCCAAGCGGCGCGCTCTCCAGTGCGCCACTGGGCCGGCCTCGAGTAGAACAAACTTTGAAATTGAAGTCTGTATAGTTAATGTGCATCAGAATGCTTTTCATTGAGTTTTGCACTTTATACGATGAACTCATTAAAAACGGAAAATTAAGATTGGCACAATGGCATTATCATAGTCAAAGAAGATTATCTGGAACACATTTACTTCTAAATTGATTTATTCAAGAATATTAAATGAAAGTCTGATTTGTACCAGATACTGTCGTAGAGGCTGGGGATTTAACAGTGACTAAAACAAGACAAAGATCTTTATCTTCATGGAGCTTACATTCAAAATGAATAGAAAATATATTTTGTTATATTATATATAACAGCTAACATTTATTGAGTGCTTCCTATATGCCAGGTATTAATGCTAATTATTTTACATAAATTATCTTATTTTATCCTCATTTATAATAACCCTATGAGATTGGTGCTATCATTTTCTCCAATTCACAGACAAGGGTACAGCCATAGAGAACTTTAGTGACTTGCCTGCAGTCTCCCATTTTCACACAAAGACAAATACAAATGTCATAATGTGGTTCTAACATACTCAGAAAGCCAGAAAGCAACACTTTTGGCAGTTACTGAGAAGTAGCATAAAACTCCTAAGGTTACAAAAATACATAGTTGTGAAAATGTTGATTGAGTTAGCTTTACCAAAAAGATTTCACAGATACAGGATGAATCTTACATAAAATTTGCCCCTTTGTGTGATTTTATTACTATATGAGTAAAGCTATTTATTTTATTTCTTCTTCTTCTTTTTTTTTTTGGCAGCTGTTTGTAGGGGGATCTGAGCCCTTGACCTTGGTTATAACACTGTGTTCTAACTAACTGAGCTAACTGGCCAGCCCCCTTGTAAAGCATTTTTTTTGTTTGTTTTGTTTGTTTTAGTAAAGCAATTTAAATGTATAATTTGGGTATTGGATATATTTCTCATTTGTCTTAATATTTTGTCAAAAGGCAGATAGAAGGTAGGAGTGAGGATTTCTCAACAGCTTTGCATAAATAGTACTTAAAGTTTTGCAATTACATAAGTAGTATTTTAATTTTTATAGTATGCTATGGTGTGTACTTTTCCTTTAGAAAGTTCAGGTTTTTACCATTTTTCTTTCATTAAAATGCACAGATATTCTTTAATGTAGTAAAAACTTTTTTTTTCTTACAAGCTTTCAATAAGGATTAAAGCTAGATTTTAGGAATTGATCTTAAGTAGATTTGATTTGCTTTCTAGACTCAGAAGTTCCTAGAGAAAGTTCAAATGGAGATTCTCTGCTAGAATGTTTGAACACCTTTCGTCACACAGGAAATGCAACTCGAAGTGGACAAAATGGGAACCAAACTTGGAGAGCTGCGAGTCGAACAAACCTAAACAGTGGAGAGTTTTGGTTTAGTCTGGAAATCCACGTAAATCATGAGAATAGACAATATGAAATTCATGGAGAAGGTTATACGGGCATTCCACTTTCAAGTATTAGCAGAAATCGTACTAGAAATAGTCAACAAAGATCAACTAGTCCTGTGGCTAGGCGAACAAGAAGCCAAACCTCAGTGAATTTCAATGGTAGCAGTTCTAACATTCCAAGGACTAGGCTTGGTTCAAGAGGGCAGAATTCAGTAGAAGGATCTTTCTCAACACTGGGAAGGCTAAGAAATCGAATTGGGGGAGCAGTTGGCATTCCTAGAACTAGTGATCCACGTGTTAATTTCGGTAGTAGTCACACAAACCAGTCAGGTAGTAGTGAACTCAGGCAAAGGGAGGGGCAGCGATTTGGAGCAGCACATGTTTGGGAAAACAGGGCTAGAACTAATGTTACTGTGAGGAATACAAACCAAAGATTAGAGCCAATAAGATTACAGTCTACTCTCAGTAGTCGAAATCATTCACCAATTCAGAGACAGAGTGGCACCTTTTATCATCATTCTCAAAGAGAAAGTAGACCTTTACAGCAAACCATTAGAAGGTCTGTGAGGAGGAGAGGTATAACTCGTGTCTTTGTAGAACAAGATAGAGAACGCAGAGGTATTGCATATACTCCGTTCTCCAATTCAAGGCTTGTGTCAAGAATCACAGTAGAAGAAGGAGAAGAAGCCAGCAGATCCTCAACTGCTGTACGACATCACCCAACAATCATACTGGACATTCAAGTGAGGATTCATCCTGGAGAAGATAGAGATCGGGACATTATTGCAAATAGAACTCGATCTAGAGTAGGGCTAGCAGAAAATACAGTCACTAATGAAAGCAATAGGGGGGGCTTTCACCGAAATGTTTCTCATTTAGAGCGATCAGGTATTCAAACCTATGTTAGCACCATAACAATTCCTCTTCATAGGAATTCTGAGAATGAGCTTGTTGAGCCATCATCCATGGCTCTTCAGTCAATCTTAAGGCAGATTACAACTGGCTTTGGAGAATTGAGTTCTCCAATGGAAGCCGAATCCGAGTCAGAGATTCAGAGAAATGGTCAGCATTTACCAGAGATGCAGTCAGTTAATGACAGCAGCCAGCACAGTGAAGGTTTCTCTCAAGACAGGCAGGCCCAAGAAGACAGCACTGAAATGAGTGATGAAAATGAGACTACCCGGCTTCACACCCAAAACAGAGACAATAGAGGCGGCAGGCAGTTGCGACATTCAAACAATTTAGTTGAAACTGGACCACTACCTATTCTTCGCCTTGCTCACTTCTTTTTACTAAGTGAAGGTGATGATGGTCAAATACATGGTTTAACCAAAGAGCAGATTGACAGTCTTTCTACCCGGAACTATGAGCATAACAGTACTGATAGTGAACTAGGTAAAGTCTGTAGTGTTTGTATTAGTGACTATGTAGCTGGAAACAAGCTCAGGCAATTACCTTGCATGCACGAATTCCACATTCACTGTATTGACCGATGGCTCTCAGAGAATTGCACTTGTCCTGTCTGTCGACAGCCTGTTTTGGGATCCAGTATAGCAAATGGGTGAAGTGATGGGATCTATTCAAATATTGTATTTTAATAGAGCTGATATTCAAGCATTGTTTTGTTGAGTTATTTGTGATGAGCTAACAAGGATAAAAAACAACAGATTATAGTTTGAACTATTTTTGTGTGCTTTTTTAGCTTGTTAAAAAGAGATTTATTTAAAATTTAAGAAGCAAATATTAAATTATCCATAAGTACAGTATAGTTAATATTGCTAGAACTACAACAGATTATAGTTTGAACTATTTTTGTGTGCTTTTTTAGCTTGTTAAAAAGAGATTTATATAAAATTTAAGAAGCAAATATTAAATTATCCATAAGTACAGTATAGTTAATATTGCTAGAACTAAATAACCTTTGAAATGTTTTTATTTTGGTAATTTTGTCATGCTAAGCACTTTTGTATCTGCACCACGATTCAGTAGATTAAAAATCTTTTTCTTAATGATAGAGCAGACTTAGATTTTCAAGTTTCATAGGCTTAGTACTATGTCTAGACATTCATTAACTTCTTATTCTAAGGACAATATCTTTTCATGAAAGTGTTTGGCTGAATGTTTGCTAAATATATTTAAATTACCTGAAATGTTTGCTAAATATATTTAAGTTACTTGAAATGTTAAATATAATATGCAGCATACCATATTTGTATATATAGATATATAGTTTTAAGGTTAAAATATCCAGTCTAAAAACAAGTTTAGTTCTTATTTAAGCTTTTGGGCTAATACTGCATATGGCACAATGTTTAATATTGACAAGATCATCTCTGAGATAAAGTGGACTAAGATATAATTTAAATATGGAAATAATTTACTGAGGCGTCTGTGACAATCTGACTTATTAGACAGCAAGCAATATATAATACTGAATAAATATTTCTTTATTCAGAAATGAAACTTGGAAAATTTAGAACATATAGTTCATTTAACTTCAGTTCAGCCTTTTTGTGGCTTTTTTGAAAGTGCAAATAATTCTTTGGATTATTAAGTCAGGTGTACAATATGCATGGTTTCTCAAATTTAGTTTTAAAATCTAAAAAGAAGTCTATAAAAATCAAATGCAAATATGTTAAGTTCATTTCGAGGTCAAAAAACTCCAAATAAAAGAAAAAATCTTTAAGAGAATGTAAGATTTATATAAACACAAAGTACGCATTGAAGATCTATTTCAACCAATAAATATTAAAACAAAGACTGTATGTGAACTGTTTTTTTCTATTGCTCCACTGTAGTTTATTCACCTGCCAAAATATTTATTTCGTGCTAGGTGCCAGGCAATGTTGGGGAATGAGGATTCCCCAGATGAGAAACAGACAAAAGTCCCTGTCTTCATGGAAGAGATGTACTTGTACTTAGAAACTGAGAATCATTTGATAAAATGAATTACTGTTCTGTCATGTTTGCTTGTGAACATATGACTTGGTTTTCTTGTGGTGATACTGCTTGGGCAAAGATTACAAGAACAGTACCTCAAGGCCAGATTCTGTGAGATTCAGAAATATCTCCACATTTAATTTTTCTTTCTGATTAGCAATTACATTATATTCAATTTATTAGGTTAGATGCATGACCAGGAACGTTAGAGAGTGCATTTAACACATGGAGTGAAAGATTTTCGTAAAAGTTATGACGTTAATGTAGAGTAAATGATTTATGTAAGTCAGTTATGGGACATAAGACTGGGAAGGTTGATTTGGTCCTGATTTGAAGCTTTACATACCAGACTAAGGAATTATTTCATCTTATAGACATAAGATGTCCCTTGATGATTTTAGTGGCAAATGGTAAGATTATTTTTCATCTTTTAGGAAGATTGGTCTAGCACAGTATACAGAACACAATTAGAGTGGATAGAGATAGGAAACAAACCAATAAAGGAACTGCTGTGATAAAACATTATTTTTATTGTCAGTTATCATCATCAGTTATTATCCAAAGTAGGCTAATGACAGTGAAACTGAAAAGAAAGAGAAGGGTGTGAAAATGTTAATTTTAAAAAAAGACATTATTTCGTCTCTAGTTCAGTATGAAGAAGTGGGAGAGAGTCGCATGTTCACAGATGAAGAGAGAATCACCTGAGTGGAGCAGGGAGAGCTGACACAAATTACAGTTAAAATATATGCTAATTTAAACATCTTAAACATAGCCTAATTCATGCATCTCACACACATTTTAGTGTTACCATTTGTCCCCAATATGACGAGAGACTAAATCTAGCGCTCATTTCTTGTATGGAATATTCCTCAGGAAGTTCTGCCTCTGCTGGCGTGATCAGTTAGGAAAATTAGGAGAACAAAGAGAGAGAAATGAAAGAACTAGAGATAAAGAAAAAATAAAAGCACATTGATTCTTTGACCTCAGTCCCTTCCAAGGCACGATAGTGTTACCAGCATGCAAAGCGATTTCAAATAGGCATTTGAAGCAGAATTAGGTTGTGTACGGTATGGAAAATTCCTGAAAGCAGTAGTACAGCTTAATGAATTTTGTAAATTGGTATTCCTTTCGAGAACAAAGAAGGGTTTTCTTGAATATTTATTTCCGAGTAAACAAGGCTGATGACAAATACAAAGGCTCATTAATCTATTTATAGCTTCTGTTTAGCAGTGATTGTACCCTTTGTGGTTCCGATATAGAAAAGAACAAATAGTTGGAAATTCTTCATTTGAAAATTATGTTCCATGTCAGGTCCATAGAAATTGTTCTTTATAGTTAGGCTGGCTAGATTGCCAGTATCTAGCTGTTCTCGCAAGTATTTATGTTCTTTTACCTTGTTTTCTCAGTTCCCAGATTTTTCTATTTTCAGCTAGCATTGTTATAATCCTTACCTGATTATCACTCTCCTGAGGTTATTTTCTTTTCAATATTTAAAATGATTTCATAATTTAAACTTCCCAAGATCTTGATGTAATATTGCCACTTAACATAGTAATTGGCAGGGTTTATAAAGACAATCACTTCACATGGCCATTTGCCTCCAAAGCTTGTGCTTTTCCCACTACACTGCATTCTGGAACGGCAGAAATGCTTGTGAAGTTTTCAGTCTAATTTATTTCTTGCTAATTTTATAACTCGTTATAACATGTCTATATAATTACCCTAATTCCCATATGCAAATGCATCCTTTCTGTTTCATGAATGGAGAAGAGAGAAGGGTTGCACTTGAAAGATACAAAACACTGGGCCGAGCCCGTGGCGCACTCGGGAGAGTGTGGCGCTGGGAGCGCAGCAGCGCTCCTGCCGCGGGTTCGGATCCCATATAGGGATGGCCGGTGCGCTCACTGGCTGAGTGCAGTGCGGCCGGTCTCAAAAAGGACAAAAAAAAAAAAAAAGATACAAAGTAGAATCTGTATTATGAAGATGAATCCAGATAAGAGATGAATAAGGCATCTGAAGATACTGTACTAAGGACCAGAGTTAATAAGCTGAGTCTGAGGCATTTTCATATTAATCCCAGACAAGAACATTTAATTAACTTTTAATCTTCCTGCATCTCTACTCTCAATACTCTCTGGCTAGGGGAGGAAAAAACTGTGTAGAAACAGTACTCCACATGAACAGGGTTGGTTATTTCCTTTGCAATGACAGCCAGCCCACTTGGGGTCTCTCCCTCAATTTTGTGTAACATTGGAAATCAGAGAGCTAAGGTATCTGTGTTAGGAAATGATTTCCCGGGAAGCCAGACTCATCTATCATTGAGAACCTCATTCCTTGTTCCAAAGGACATGATGATGACTCTCAATGGTAATTGTTTCCTTAGTCTCTAGAGGCAGATTGTGAGTTATTTTCAGTGAATATGAGTGTGTTAGTCCCTGAATATATTTGCTGTTATGGTCCATAATTACTTTTAGCAAGTTTTGTTTCAAGTATTAAATCTCTGAAGACTCTGAGTTGGCTCCTATATTTTTCTTTTTCTTTCTTTTTTCTAAATAACATCCTCACATTTCTTCTGGAAAATAATAAACACTTTTGTCACAGAAATGGACTCGGTGAGGAAGCAACCAACACTTGGAGGGTTGGAGAGTCAGGTATTTATTACACTGGTGGGCCCAGACAAGCTAATGCTCCAAAATATGGACCCCGAGCTCAGGTTTTACGGGGCTTTTCACAGGCGGACTCTTCTGGGTTTGGGGTTTCAGTTTCTCAACAGACATCTGAAACAGGCAGCTGCAAGTTTTGGCTTCTCAGAACTCCTGTGGTCCAAGCAGGTAAGCAAGCATGGTTATAGAAGCGAGGAATGCATGCAGTTGATTAACAGCTAGGCTGAATTCATGTGGCCTTGCAGATAAACAAACTTGGTTACAGAGGCATTACAAAGGCAAGGCAAATTTTTAACTTTGAGTTTTCTCAACATTTCCCCCCTTTGATACTCTCTCTAAACTCTGGAGTGAGCATCACCTTCAGATTTTCTATCCTTTAATGGCATGTAAGTATATTCTTGGGGTGACAGGACCATCTGTAATTTGATTGACTCTAAACGAGTTGAAACAACCCTAACATGGCAATTTAAAATACATGGGACAAACAGGAGGGCTAATTATTAACACTGGTCCGACAAATGGCAAAAGCCAGGATAACCAGGGCCGACCCCATGGCGCACTCTGGAGAGTGCGGTGCTGGGAGCACAGCAGCGCTCCTGCTGCGGGTTCGGATCCTATATAGGGATGGCCGGTGCACTCATTGGCTGAGTGCGGTGCAGCCGGTCACAAAAAAGACAAAAAAAAGCCAGGATAACCAGCTCCATGTGTCTGTCCGTGAGAACCAAGACTTCTCTAATTCCTCCTTCCTTTGGCCAAGCACTCCCTTAGCTGTTGGACCATGTTTCTCATTACTCTTGATCTGTTGGCATAGAAGCATCATTCTTCATTAAGGAAGAGGCAGAGCCCCGCCTTCTCTGCAGTGAGTAAATCGAATCCTTGCCTGTTCTGGAGGACCATTTTTGCCAAGGAGTCTACCTGGTCTTGTAATGCTATCAGGGAGGAAGCTACTTGTTCCTTGTCATCAGAGAAATCGTTAGATAATTTGTGATAGAAAGTCATGGAGAAAACTATTCCTCCAACCCCTGTGCCTATCCCAGCGGTTATTCCCAGGCCAATTAACAAAGTGATGACTTGTATTGCCCTTTTTGTTCTCATATGTGCCCTTAGGGGCACCATAAGGGATTGGTTCGCAGGGATGATATCTGCCTGGGGGGTGATGGCGGCTACTGTGCAGACTCCTTCCCAGTTAGCAGGGAGGCACTGGTAGGCATAATTCCCACACACGCAAAGGAGGCCTACCTGGGGTTTTCACCAAGGTTCAGTAGCCAAGGAAGAGTTAATATTAGCGATATTGGCATACTGTTTGTTTGTCAGATTGTCCACCTGAACTGTTCTCCCTTGGCTTTTAATGCACTGTGGGGCCTTGAGTAGCATATAGACACCTGACAACCTAGAATCCCAGGCTTGGTCATGTTGACTCTGGTTCCCTTAGAGTTATTAAAGTCATTTACTGGGATGGCGATCTGCTGGGGTTTTTTGGGCAAGCAGAGCTGACAATTCCTTGCTAGAGAAGGGTTGGTGACATTTAGGAGGTGGTGGATGGCATTCAGCATCTGGCTGAGGTATGGGTTTAGGCCCAGTGGTTGAGACCTAAGTATGCACACTTTCAGCTTGGGCCTCTTGGGAGAGGCTGAGGGGTAGGTTCCTCATGGGATTCTCTGAAATTGAAGTCTACACCTCCTATGCCAGGGCAGTAGCCTACAGGATAGCTGTTCCTGGGTGGTCTGTCAATATCTATTTCCCATCCTTTGCTTTTTGGGTTATAACCAGGGGCTAACCTGGGCTTCCAGTTGGAGAGGAAGGTGACAGGTTTGATATGTTTGTGGCTCATCATATCTTCATTCCAATCCTGTTTTTTAATAATTTTTCTTTTAAACATCTCAGTGGCCTTGTGTTTTTCAATTATTAGTGGGTAGCTGGATGAGACTTCCCCTGAGAAATGGAGCAGGGAGCCAAATGTTTAGAAGATGCAGTGCCACAATGAGATGGTTAAGAACATCCTACTGACAGAGATAAAAGAGTGCTAATAAGAGTTTCTCTATTCCAATCTTTTGGGGCAACTGCTGTCAGTCCTATGGCAAAGCAAGCAATGTAACAAAAACTAAAGGCAAGGGGTGACATATGTTTATCATTTCATAAAAATATAATAGTGTACTTA